GGTGTGGATTGGGGCTGAGGACGGTGCGGCCCCGCCGTGCATCCTGGTGGGGTGCAGCCCTGGGACCCCCGCACGTGTCAGGTCCCGTGGGTGCTCCCCCGTGCCGCTGGCACCCACCGAGCAGAGACTTAATCTGCAATGGGGCGAAGCCGCCCGGCTTTGCCTTCCTCGCTGGAATTGCGTTGGCGAGGGCTTGCGATCTTCCAAGTGACGAGCGCTGCCGGACTCGGCAGCCCCGGGGGCTTTAGGGAGCTGATGGATGGGGGGTTGCCCGCCCGGCAGGCACTGAGACCATGGGAGGGGGATGAGGGCGAGAGCAAGCGGGAGGAAAAAATACCCCACTCTCACTCAGAGGGGAAAGGGAAGAATTATATACTTCAGCCTTAAAAGCTTTAGGAGCTGGGGGGGTGATGCTGGCGTCTCCCCGGGGAGCCGCATTCGGGTCCCGGGGGAGCCGCGTTCGGGACCCGAGGCGAGCATCGCTCGCGGTCTCTGCTGCGGTGAGGTGGGTGCTGCTTTAGGACGGTGTCCCCGCACCCTGCCCGGCGCCCCGGGACGGGTCCCAGCCCTGCAGCAAACCTGGGAATTTCATTTCCCGGTGCCCAGGTTATGAATCCGGAGGCGCGGGAGAGCTACAGTAATAACCGGGCGTGAAATACTCCTCTGCCCCGCAGGTTTGCAGCCCTGGTGAAATATTAGTGGAGGAAAAACATAAAAGTCCCATTTCCAGCTCCATAATATTTCCTGCCAAAACAAAGTAAAATGTGCTGCCTTAAATTTTCTGCGAAATTCTTCTGAGGTTATTTTTTTCCCTAAATTAAGCCATACTAATTATTTTCAGCCACTTTATCTCCACTCTGCAACACACCAGGAGGGTGCAGGCGGCAAGCATTTTAAGCCTCCATAAACAAAAGAGTAGTTTGGAAAATAATTCTATCAATTAATCAAATTAATCCTGCAGTTTTAGTTACAAGCCCCAAGTGGCAAGGATTCTAGCCTGCGGTTAGGAGCTATCTCTCATTGACAGCGTTTAAATGTTATGATTGCAACAGTAATTAAAGAATATAATATGCCTGGCTTTGTGTCAGCTTCCTACCTTTAGACCTCAGTGTTGTGCCAGCAGAGGTCAGCTTGAGGGCAAATTGGTGATGACCAAACTGGGCTGTCACCATCACCGTCACCCATTAACAATGACCAAACTGGGCCATCATCACCACTTGGTGATGACCAAGCTGGGCCATCACCATCACCAGTTGGTGATGACCAAACTGGGCCTTCATCATCACCAACTGGTGATGACCAAACTGGGCCTTCACCATCACCACTTGATGATGACCAAACTGGGCCTTCATCATCACCAACTGGCGATGACCAAACTGGGTCTTCACCATGACCAATTGGTGATGACCACACTGGGCCTTCACCATCACCACTTGATGATGACCAAACTGGGCCTTCATTGTCACCAATTGGTGATGACCAAACTGGGCCTTCACCATCACCACTTGATGATGACCAAACTGGGCCTTCATCGTCACCAACTGGCGATGACCAAACTGGGTCTTCACCATGACCAATTGGTGATGACCACACTGGGCCTTCACCATCACCCCTTGGTGAGGACCAAACTGGGCCTTCATTATCACCAATTGGTGATGACCAAACTGGGCCTTCACCATCACCACTTGATGATGACCAAACTGGGCCTTCATCGTCACCAACTGGTGATGACAACTGGGCCATCACCATCACCAGTTGGTGATGACCAAACTGGGCCTTCATTGTCACCAACTGGTGATGACCAAACTGGGCCATCACCATCACCACTTGATGATGACCAAACTGGGCCTTCATCGTCACCAACTGGTGATGACCAAACTGGGTCTTCACCATCACCAACTGGTGATGACCCAACTGGGCCTTCACCATCACCAACTGGTGATGACCAAACTGGGCCTTCATTGTCACCACTTGATGATGACCAAACTGGGCCTTCATCGTCACCAACTGGCGATGACCAAACTGGGCCTTCACCATCACCAGTTGGTGATGACCAAACTGGGCCTTCACCATCACCAACTGGTGATGACCAAACTGGGCCTTCATCGTCACCAACTGGTGATGACCAAACTGGGTCTTCACCATCACCAGTTGGTGATGACCAAACTGGGCCTTCACCGTCACCAACTGGTGCTGACCAAACTGGGCCTCACCAACTGATGATGGCCAAACTGGGCCTTCACCATCACCAACTGGCGATGGCCAAACTGGGCCTTCATCATCACATTGGGCTTTATTTTCTCCCCTGGGCCAAGCCACCCATGGCGTGATTAGGATGCAGGCAGGAGCTCCATTGCTTTGCCAATATTTGCAAGGTGATGGCAGCGGCACCCAACGTCCTCCCGCGGCCACTTTGCAGAGGACACCGTGAAGACGTACAGAGCGTCCAATTGTCAATTAGAAATATCGTTTGGTTAGAGATGAGCACGGGAGGAAGGGACCGCGGGTGTATGGGACACAGCCAGGGAGGATGATCCCACAAACATCACGCAGACAGGGAATTTCTGTGAAAATATTGGAATATATTTGAAAAGATTAATCATGTATGATTTTACAGTACCACCCCATATTTTCATCTCATACTTTATTTAACAATATTAAAGAGGCACTTTAAAAGCACACATACAACATCATAAAACGGCATTTCCTGCTCTCTCTCTGCTTCTCTGACAAAGTATCAAAATAAAAACTTTTGACAGAACACATTGCACCCAAGGTAAATTACCTACAATATTTTTATACAATACAAAGAATTGTAAAGATACATATTAACAGAATAAAGCCTCTTTTTTTTCCTTTTAAATCTAAAACAAAACAAAAATAATAATTGCAGGACAGACGCAAAGTACTCTGACTGTTCATATCACATCAGTGCATTACTTCACCTCCTTGACTTGGGAGTATTTCAATAGTATTTTCAATTATCTTCCATGTCCTCGTTTGCACCTGAGATTTCTTTCCGGATTCAAAAGTTCGGTTGTATAACATGCTCGTTTAACGTGACGTAACCTTTTCGACACTATGGAGTACCAGCATACAGGATTTTTTTCCCTAAAGTTGGATTTTAATTTTTTTGTTTTCCTGCTTCGTTTTCTTTTACAGGTAACGGCTACTTCCTAACGGTTCCCTTTTATTTTTCAATCAAGGAAGTTTGTATTCACATTACAAAAGAAGAATAGCACCAGTAACTGCATAGTAAAAAGCGGATACCTATATAGCCACTAACTCAATACAGTAAGATAGTTTAGAAGTGATACCGTTGAGGGCACTCGGGACAGTACCGGTTCGGTGCGGTAAATTGGCACAGTTTTGTCGTTGCGCAACCCCTCTCCCCCCCAACAAAAAGAAAACACACACACACACAACACACAAAAAAAACCCCTAAAAAATCAGAGTTTGTCACAAGTGTCAAGGTGCAGTTTGCTCGCGGTGGCGGCTCTCCTCCGGTTACATCGTCTACAGTGGTCAAAGAGCGGCAGCATCCTCTGAAGGGCTCCGACAGCCCCGGCAGCCCCAGAGCCAGTGCGTTATTCTCTTGACGATGTAGAAACAAATTCATAGGGATGGCTGTCAAAATATAGGACACTCGATTCTTAATTTAATTTTTTTTTTTTAATTGTATCATCTCTTAGGCTAGCTCCCAATTAAATGAATTGTACGGGATTATTTGTGCAAAATCTTCAAAAAAAAATTTGCTTTCTACAGTGTACTGCACCTTATGAATAAGACGTCTACGGAATGAAGTTCATCTCTTCAAGTACTTTGTACAAAGATAACACAGACACAGTCTCAAAAGGGTCTGAGATTTGCAAGTATCCTTATAACCTCAGCACTTCTGCAATAAAGCAATTGCTCTTGACGATTCAGTCTGCCCAAAGCGATTACAATTTCAGTTCATGAAAATCATCAGCAACATCAAAGTTCTAGCATTTGCATGATAAATCAGGTGAATTAAAGTAGATTAGTAGACACAAAGCAAACTATTTCACAGAGGCTGCAGTGCAAGTTCATTTAAGCTAGACAGAGAAATCATGCTACACAAACGAATTTAATGCTTTGATAATTTTTCCCTTGCAAACCCCATGAAAGCAGCTGAGGATCACCATAAGTCACTTCCATAAATTACTCTGAAGTATCTCTTCTTAAAGGAATTTTAAAGCTAGTTAATTTTTGCCCAAAGAGTTGGCTTAGCAGGTTGTTCTGGGCCTCGGCGGTGCGGTAGCTGGCCGAGCCGGCTGGCTTGGCACCCCGGGCGGCACGCGGGCTGTGCAAGGAGCCACGTGGGGACGGCGCCGGCCCCTTGGCCAACACTTGGTGGAGGCTCTTCCCCAGAATGGCCTTCCTGCGTTTCACGTCCCCGTTGGCGTGACGGAGCTCCCCCTTCTTCTGGTTGTAAGTGTCCAGGACCATCTTTTTCAGTTGGGTGCCCGTTTTGGGCTTGGGTACCAGTTTGTTGCAGTGCGTCTCCCTCCTGCCAGGGGAGAGGGCAGAAGCTTCAGCGTTGCTCCAGCTGGCGCGTTTGAGCTCGCCGGTGCTCTCGCTCCTCCCTGGGCCTGAGGTTCGGGCTTTTTTCTTTTTCCCGTCTCCCTCCATGTTCTCTCGGGAGCCGGAGCTGCTCCGGTGGCTCAGGGACTTGTGCTCTTTCCGCCTCTTGGGGTGAAGCTTGCCAGCAGCTTTGCTCGGCTCCACATGGCCGTGTCTCACGGCGTTGCTGGCCACCTCGTCTCTGGGCTGGTGGCCGGTGGATTTGCTTGGGCTGACACCTTGGTCCTTGGCATTGGTGCTGCTGTCCTTGGCGCTGGCCTCGGGCATGGCTTTCTCCTTCCCCGAACCGGGTTGCTGATCCTCCTCGGTGCTGCTGCCGGGGCTGTCCATGCCAGGAGCAGCCTCACTGCTGGGCTGGCTACCTGCAGTCTTCTTCTGTAGGATTGAATCTTTGGCAGCCCTGTTCAACGTGGGTGAAGCCGTTTTGTCCTTCAGGGGCAGGGAGTGGTGGGCAGCTTCTGGAGACGTGGCCTTAGATGCACCTTCCCAAGAAGAGGCATTGCTGGCACTGGGGTTGCCCCATCTGTGGGTCTCCTTGGCTGGTGGAGCCTCTGCCTGTGGGGAAGGAAGCTCTGAGACCTTCTTGGAAAGCTGGAGAAATGGGATCCCATCCGTGGTGTCAGTGGCTGCATCGGGATTTTCCAGAACACCTGCTATATATTTGCCTTTGTTGCCTATGCTTGTTCTTTTATGGGCATTGGCGCAGCCATGTTTCTCGGTGAGGTGTGGAGGAGAGCATTTTTGGTCTGTGGCCTGGTTACAAGCCAACCCAGCAAGGTCAATGGTAAACTCGGGCGAGTCCAAGAAAGGAAGTGGTTTGCCATCAAATGCTCCTTTCTCCAGCTCCTCGATAGACAGGGCAGCGATATGGCCGAGCTCTTCACTGCTGGCTGCACCCTGCGGCAAAGATGGGGAGAGGCAGGGTGGTGGAGGCAGGGTGTCAAACTGGGATTTCTCCATCTCTGCCAGGAGGTAGGAGAAGTCACCCACCAGGTCTTCTGTTTTCACAGAGGGTTGGAGTGCTCCCGGGTCACCAGGTGCTGTAGGAAAGGAGTCAGTGGGAGCCTGCAGGCTGGGACTTGCAGCTTCTACCAGCTGAAGGTCACTAGAGTGGTCCAGGTGGACTGGCGAGCTGCGTGGGAGTGTGCTGTCATGGTGAGCAACCTTCCTCTTCTTGCTCGGCGGCATGCCGTCCTGGAGAGAGCTGTCCTCTTTCACCTTCTCCCTGCTCTCTCTGGAGGCAACGCCGGGCCTCATGACCCCTCTGAATTTGAAAGTCTTGTTGCTTCCTGCCAGGTGCTTCTCCATGTGCCGGTCGTATTGCTCTTTCTTGGAGAAGGTGTAGTTGCACATGCTGCAGATGAAGGACTTCTTGATAACGTGCATGACGTCTGCGCAGAGCTCGCAGGCATACAGGGTGGTGTGCTTGATCTCCTGCTCCTCCACTATCCCGTGCTCCTGGCTGAGGTGGTTTCGAAGCTCTTTGGTCTCTTGGTAGAACATCGGACACTTGTGGCACAGGTAGATCTTTTGTAAACTGTGCACAACTAAGTGCCGTTGGAGCTTGAAGGGTTTGGGAAACTGTTTGCCACAGTGATGGCAGTCCCTGGAAGGATCCTTGCAGTCTGGGTGCATGGGGACAGATTTTGAGGTGCCTTCGCTTTTTGCTGTATGCTCTGGAGATGGACTGGCAGATGCTTTAGAGGAGCTGGGTGCAGGTGGCTTCACCTTGACATTGCTTTCCAAGGGGTCTTTCATCGCCTTGGCCTCCTGCTCGAGGGGCAGCTCCTTGGGGCTCTTGCTCTCTCTGCTAACTGCATGCTTGCTGCTGGGGTCAGCGTGCCGGGAGGACCTGCTGGGCTTCCGATACATGATGGTGTTGAGGAAGTGGGTGACAGCGGCATTGTCCTCACCGAAGCAGGCTGGCAGGCCCATCACGGACTTCTGCGCTTGCCCCTTGCGAGCAAACTGGGTGGCGTGCTCCCGGAGATGCTCGTTGTACATCCAGACATCAGAGATCTCCTTCAGGCACATCCCGCAAGCCCACAAACCAGCTTTGTTTTTGGCGTGCTTCTCCTTCAGATGGTCCCTCAGCTGCTCCCGGGAGCTGAATTTGCGCTGGACACACATGTAGCAGGTAGGTGGAGGAGAAGGGTTATGGGAGAGCTTGTGGAAGTCCAGCTCCCCTAATGTCAGGAACCACTGGAAGCAGACTTTGCATTTGTACTGCTTGTCTTTGGCCTTGATGGTTATCTCACTGCGGTTTTTCCCCAGTTTCCCATCTTCTAGCTTACTTCTGTGCTTGCTGTGCTGGCCCGGCTTCAGCTTGAAACTCACAGCGTTGTCCTCTCCATGGCCAGGAAGATCTTCACAAGGGCCGAAGAAGCACATGTCTCTCATTTTCAGCTTTGCGTTCAGCATCTCAATGTCGATGGTATGAAATTCGGGAGAGTCTGAATCTTTGTTAGCCTTGCCATCGTAGGGCTCCTCTGCCAGGTCGGGGGGCTCGGAGCTTGCTTCTCTGAGCGAGTGCTCATCCTCAAGGTCCATCAGAGGCTTGAACATGTCCTCGGCAGAGATGCTTTCTCCCTCCTTCTCCAGACTCCCCCAGATGTTCAAGCTGGGGACGTTGTCCATTTGGCTGTTTTGGCACAAGAAAGTTAGCATGTTGTCTTCCAGGTCAATGTCCTCCTTCCCTTGGTCGGTCTTCTCGCAGTCCGATCTTGGCACAATGCTTTTAAATGCGCTGGGAGCAGCATCTCTGCTCTTCACCTTGCTGCCGTGACACATGTTTAGCATTAAGGCATCGTCAACAGAGATGGTCTCGTATTCGCAAGGGTCCTCCCTGGTGACGCAGAAAGAGCTGGTTTCACTGAGGTCAGAAGCTAATCGGATTGCGAAGAGGTCAACGGCACCTGCTGGCTGGAGGTTTACCTCGGTGACGGGCTTGGGTTTCTTGCTGCGCTTCCCATACACCCGCGTGCACTTTCTCCGGATGAACTGGTCATCCCGGGGGAACAGCTGGGAGAATGTGGACTCATCGTCAAACAAGCTCTGGAGGTCTGAGGCAGCTGCGCTCTCCATGCAGTGCTCTCTGCCCGGTGGGACATCTGCCTTCGCCCAGTGCTTGGGCTCCGCAGGAGGAGGGCTGGTCCCTGGTGTGATCGGCAGAGCACCTTGCCCAGGACCTTTTTGGGTGATATCTGAATCATGTGTCTCCAGTGACAGACCCCCTTTGGCAGGAGGCGTGGGACCCTGGGGGGCATTGCTCCGGTTCCCAGTGCCGCTGCCTGCCGCGGGACTGTCTCCTGTCTCAGCATCCATCTCCTCTGCGCCTTCAGCAGCATGATGCTGCTCTTTGCCTACCTTGCCCAATCCCTTCTCCACTTGCTTCACAAACCCACTAAGCCATTTTTTGCAAGCCTGCCTGTTTTCCACTCCATTTGGATCTTCCACGTCCCTGGAACAGGCAACCATGCCCGTTATTGACTCCTTGCTGACCATCTCCTTTGAAGACACCATCCTGTCGCCCATGTCCTCTGCAAGCTCAGCTGCACAAGGGGACTGTTCAGCTTTTTGAGAGTGCTGGGATGAATTTGACCTATTTTGCTCCTCTGTGGAGATGCAACCACCTGGCTCACACAAGCCCTCCATGATCTTGGGCAGACTGGAGCTGAGGACAGCATGGGGAGGACCAGCGCTCTTCTCCAGCTCACATGGACCGTCGGGATCATTTTTGCTGGGAAATACCTTCGCCTTCCTTCGTCTCACTTTCCTGTTTAGCTTCTTTTCAGAATTACCGTTCACCTCTCCAGGATCTTTGCTTTGGTTCCTTCTGCCCTTTTCTCCCTTCCTGGCTTGCCGTCCCGGGTCCATCTTCCCAGCTGCCGCCTCGCCTGCTCCCCTCGTCTCCGAGCGCAGTCCCTTTGCCTTCATCTCCCTCTGCAGAACATGTGTGCGGTGCAGCTCCTGGGACATCTCAAAGGAGATCACGCTGAGGTCACTGAGCACCCTGCTGACCACTTCTTGCATCTGGGTGCTGGGCTCTTTCTCTAGGTCTGGGCATATTTTCTTGGGGACATGGTCAACATTGGTGGTCAGTATCTGTGAGTTGCAGGTTTTTTCTTTGACTGAACTCTTCAGGCTCCTCCTGGGCACCTTTTGGGCTGCTTTCGCTGTCTTGTCTGCAGACATCAAAGCGGACCTGGGACTCTTGCTGGGCTGTGGTACACCACCGTTCTTCACCTGGTGCTTGACAGCTTTGTGCCTGGTCAGGCCAGGCTTGGACCGGAAAGAAGCTGAACAAATGTCGCAGGTCACCGGGAGCCCGTTTGGCTTCTTTTCTTTGTGAACTTCATTTTGGGAAGGGTTTGGAGTACTGTCAGGCCTGTTGCCCTCTCCTTGGCCCATACTGTTTAACACACAACTCCCAGCTTCTTCAGCCCCATGGCCTTTGGGTTTCTCCTCTTTTAAACTCTTCCCCCCGCTCTCTGTGGTTTTGGAAAGACCAAGTCTCCCCTCTGCTGCCTCTGAAAACTTGTGGCCATTTAATTCAGCAG